TAAAAGCATGCAATAATTTATCTCTAATAGCTAAAAGATTAGGATGGGGGCCAGTTCTAGCAACTTCACCTTTTACAGTTGACCAAACTCCCTCGATCGGTTGAAGTTCGCAATAGTAAGGCGGAGTAAAAAACAATTTATGGTCATATTTTGCAGCTATTTGAATGCACATAAAAGGAACCTTATTTTTGTGTAATTTTATTAATTCATAAAGTTCCACTTTGTTAAAATTTTCTGGAATATTAATACCATTTGATAATAACCATTCGGTCATCATATCCTTTTTTGAGTTTGATATTGACACTTGTTCAGCTCAGTGTTTGTGATACCTAGCACTATCTATATGAATATCAACTAATCCATAGTGTTCTTTAATGTTGGCGCAAAGTTTATCAAACAGGTCTTCAAATATTTCAGCTGTAAAATTGCCATGGTAATCAACTTGATCATTGGAATTTTGAGTAATATCAGGAATATTATCCCAGGCATCAGCATTAGCCCATTTTCTTCTTCTTGATGAAGGTAGTTTAATTGAGAGATCCCATAATAAATGAGAATTAGGAACAATTTTACCAAAAAGTTTATTGGAATCACCATTACGCATTATGATTATCGCATTAAAAATAACAATTAGAGATTCACGCCCAGGTGAATACACAACTCTATGACTTGACATCCAAGTACGATTTGTAATATGGTATAAGTAGCAATATGATTCATCTAAGAATACTTCCAGTCTAGAAGGAACATTATTTTGCTCCTGCGAAATGCAATGTTTTGAAAAAATTCATGCAATATATTTTGATGTTCACCCTGACTGAAATAATATCCAAGCTTGTAAAGTATACGAAGTAACTGCCATTTTAAAAGTGTATAGCCATTTTCTTCAAGCTTCTGTCACAAATTATTTGTTGAAAGTGATAAGCTGAAACGGTTAGAAGACATAACAGAAGTACATATAACTTTAACAATATTGTCATTAAGTTCTTTTTTTGGTCTTCCATATATTTTTTGCGATAACTGTTCATCATTTTTATCTTTATTGTACTCAGAAATTACCTGTGTAACTGTTACCTCCTCAATTCCAAGGGCCATAGCAACCTCCTTATATAGTGATAAGTTTTGATACTTCTTCTTATTCTGTCAGATATCAAAAAAGTATTGATGAACACGAATGACCATCTTTTTTTCATTACTAGTCAGGTAGCTTTGGTCTCATTTTAAGTCATCCATTTGAAAAGAAAGGCGGTTAAATTTTTTTTATTTTAAAGTTTAGAACCATCCTTATTTTATCTATAATTTATATAATCATATATTCAGTTTGTGAAGTTTTATGTAATATAAGAAAATCAGGTGATGATCTTTATGTATCAATCTTTTTGCACCGGACCATAACTAATATGATTTTATTAAAACAAATATATATTTATAAAATATTCATTTTGTTATTCAGCGCGTTGAATTATTGTACTAATTTTATGATTGATTTTATAGGCATGACATTATATATGTTTGTAATCTGCAATAAGAGACAATCATATTTATAAAAGTGACTTAAATTATTTTTGTAACGAAAATCATACCATTATACAAGAGCAAGGTCAAAAGATGAATAATCTTTGATTTCAATATTAATTAACATAAGAACTTAAATATATAGAATATGTTGTTATTTGGCATCGTTAAAAATAGTTATTAACATAATGATAAAATTACTAGTATCATTAACTGTACCTTTCCAAAACATGCACCTTCATTTGTATTATATTCTTCAGTTTCTTCTTCACTCATATTAATCAACACATCACTAAACGATGGTTCATTGTAATATCTACTTTTAGCTCTAATATAATCTCTACTAGAAGTAACATTAGTATAACTATACGAGCTGATTTTACAATTCATTGCGTCAGTTAACCCTTCACATAAGTCAAAAAATTCATTTAACGCTAGTAGAAAATATTCTAAAGCCATTAAAACTTCATCAGCTAAATTATTTCCAACTTGTAATTAATGAAAAATGTATCAAAATCTTTCAGAAAAAACGTGACTAATAGCCCATTCATCATAGTTTTTCGTTGACATTGGTTAACAGTTTTACGTTGAAACAAATATTTAATTATTGAATTACAATAAATCTGTAGAAAATAATAGTGATTTAACATTTGTATACAACTAAAAAGCAACGAGAAAACAAATAATGACTGTTCTAATCATTTTATCCGTTACATTACGCTTGTTACTGGCTCTATACAGTTTTTAAATGGCATTTTTATGTAAAGATTCGTATGTCTCTGTCATGTAACCATTAATTGCCTCATACTTCTTAATTGCTGCAACGACATAATAGCATTAGTTATATAGTTTTGGTAATCGAAGCTCTGACGGGAAATACAATTTGAAAAGGTTTACAAATGATGTTACCCAACTTGTAATTAAATCCTACAAGTAAAATAAAATATGTTAATTGTTAAATGTAATAATATAGGTGATAAAATTTAAATACTAATATTTATCATACCTCAAAAATCTTCAATTTTGATTTTAGAAAATAATCCTATCTACTGTATAAGTACATCTTATTCTAATAATAATATATGTTAACTAATGCTTTATCACCTCTTTTGGCTTGATTTTCACTCAATGATTCTTTGTGATATTTTGTGATTATTCCTTCAATGATGAAAATAAACACTTTCATCATATTCTGAAACTCATCAGCCGTAAATCGCTTAACATTCTTCAACCCATTTTTAAATAACTTAAGACTGAAAAATCTTAGAATTTTGGCTAGACGATTGTCAAGTTCGTCAACTGCTACTTGACTACATAAATCCTTTAACAATTCTCTTGTATAACTCACTTAATAGTTGAATAGATCTAGGTCAAGATGATGTATATGGTCAGGAATTGTTACCGTATAATATTTAAATGACTATGAGTAATATTGTTGAATAAATACTATTAGAAAATTATCATAACTAAATGCTATCTTTAACAATCACATGAACTTATGGATATTTTCAGAAAATATTTTCCAAATCATGTAAAGAATATTGTTGTGCAAGATCTTGTTCAATAAAATTTTTCATACTTTCTGGTGTTCTCAAAATAATTTGATCTTTTGTCAACTTCACATTATTTAGATTTCCACTTTCTATCAAACATTGATGATATGGACATTTACAATTGATAGAATAATACGTTAGAGTTATCACAGCATTTTTTGGAAGATCTTCTAACATCACAGAAATAAATGGATAACACCATAATTCATTATTATCTATTTAAAGATTAATTCCATTGGTATTATAATCAAGTATCGAGCATGTCAATATATTTAAAGAAAATTAATAAAGGGTACGTTTAACCAATTGAAAACTTCTAGATTTTTTTTGAGTGTTTATTTTTGCCTTTAATTATGAGAGATACCCTAAAAGAATTTTTGCATTGGGTTTGTTTCTAACCCAGCTAGGTATATTTCCTAATGTCAAATAAATAAGATGTTTGTTAGTTTTTTCCAATTGGACACAGATTGTCGCGTCAGAATACAAGATGATTGATAAGACTTTTGTTCTGTTAGAAATCAAATTTTATATTCTTTCACACCACTTCCTATTATACTGTTCACGATAAATTCTCTGATCTTCATAGTATAATAGCTCAAATTCAAATTTACAATACTGAAAGATATTTGATTACACAATAATTCCTTTATAGTATCAAAAATTGGACAATAATAAAGGTAATATATTTCCTTTTTGTATACCATTATAGGATTCTTTTTGAAAGAAATATGTGATACATTCATCTGGTCTAATACCTGACGGCTTTGTTTTATTGATGTAAGTAAATTCACATCATCACGACAAATCTTTTTTGAAAATTTAAGTAAATCACTGTCGCATGCATCTGACAAGTTTCATTTGGTAAGTAACTTCATAAAATCTCCAAATTCTTCACTTGAAAATTCTGGTTTGTTTGTTACTGAACTTCTAACATCAATGGACTTGAAAAGCGAAGTAGGTTCAATGTTAATTAATTCATGCTTAATTTTAATATCATTTTTTTTTTAGTATATAAGATATTATATTAGAAAGTATATTTTTAATTTGTATTACCAAAGTTACTAAAGTGATATAAATTAACGAAAATCTTACTTCATTGGCATCATCTAACTCTTCCTCTTCTTCAACCAACTCTTCTTCTTCAACTAGTTCCTCTTCATCATCAAACTTATCTTTTTTATCAACCAATTTTTCTTTAATGTTAACTAACTCTTTATGGCTATAAACTACTTTATTTAGATAATTTTCATTATCGTTTACTTCTTTTTCAAGTTGGTTTTCGTAGTACACTTCTTTTTTATTTTTTGGTTAAGTATTTTCTTTAACAATTATCACCTCTTCCTCATTTTTCAGTTGTAGACTTTCTTCAGCAATTTCATGTAAAATTCTATCGATTGTACTATTATGTGTCTTTATGTGATTCCGTAAAGCACTACGATGGGAAAATTCTCTTTCACAATATGAACATTGGTAACAAGGCATTTTTTAAAATATATTTTTTTTAATTTTTTTAATAAAAGTTTTGTATTAAAGTTTTAACTGTTATTTTTAACAATAACATTATTAAAATATGATTATATAAATAGTATTTAATAATGAGATTAGTTCATGAAGTAATTTAATCATTAATAATTGTAAAAAAATATTGTTTGTTAATCAGCATTAGAAGAAACTCAGAAATTTATGCATTTTACAGATCAAATAAGAAACTCAGAAACCAATGCATATCTAACATTATACGACCTTTTTAAAAAAATTGTATCAATTCAAAAAAAAAAAAAAAAAAAAAAAAAAAAAATTGCATTAATTTTTTTTTTGATGCATTATCTAATAAATGATGAAACCATTAACTTTTGGCAATTTTTAAGTGATGAAATACATTTGACTCCCGGTGAATTTTTAGCATATAAAAGGAGGAGGAATGAGGATGAAATAAAACTCTTTCTTGTCTTAGAAATAAAATATTTGGTAATTATAATTATTGATGATTATTTACAATATTTTTATTCTACAGTTTTTTTAATTTTATTGTTTTTATATAGATCATGAGTAATAAAGGCAAGAATACACCTATCACCTTCAATTTATAATGACTGAAAAGAAGATCAGATCATTTAGAAAACAAAAAAGTATTTATTTTAGTTTTTATATCATCTACAAATTACGTTTATTAAAGTTTGCTTATATATGTTATAATTTTCTTTTAGTTTTCTCTGGAGATATCAGAGACTGGTATGGAACAATCAATTTTATTTTATTTTATTAAATATCATCAAACAAAATTACATTAATCTTTTTTTTTTTTTAAAAAAAAAAAATACCTATTTCAACAGATACAGCTGATGTTTTACCACCTGAAGATGATACTAATACACAATCTGCTCAAACACCTGCATCATCATCTAAAAAAGTAAAAGTCTCAAAAATTGATTTATTTGATAAATCTTCGGTAAGTTTTCTTTGTTTTTTTATTATTATTATTTTCTTTTTATTATCTTAATGTATTTACCATAATTTTTTACATTCTTACATCAGTTTACAAATGATGTGTTATCTATACTACCGCCTCTACCTGTAGTTGTAGTACCTTCTTCAACCTTCTATACATCTAATCCTTCACCTAAAGATGTAGTACCTTTTTTTAGTAAATCAGCTCCTAGTAAAGCAACTTCTAGCAAAATAACTTTCACTTTTAGTAAAGCAACTTTCAAAAAACTAACCTCTACTAAAGCAAAATCTATAGCATACGAAGAAGCCTCTACAATACGCAGTATTTTTTCAACACATAGTATTTCCTTAACATGCAGTATTTCCTCAGCACGTAATGCCTCAACATGCGATACTTCTACAACATATAAAGCTTTTACAATATGCGATACTTCTACAATATGCGAAGGTTAGAGCTTATATATAACATATTTATTTTATATTTATTGCATTTATTAATGACAGAATATTACATATTTATTTTCATTAATGATAATTAGCAATACCAAATACTGATCAATGAAGTTTGACGAAGTTACTTCAGGTTTGCTAACAAAATAGTGCAAAACTTAATCAAATAGATAAAAAGTAAGAGAATATCATTGAAATGATCAATGAACAAAAAAACTAAATTACTAATGTTATATTATAATTAGAACGTAATTCTAAAGTTGAAAAAGGTGAAAGTAAAGGAAATAAACGTAATAAAAAAGCACAAACAGAATTTTATCAAGTAAATATCTACATTACTTATTATTTTTTATTTCATTATCTTTTTTATTCATAATTACTTTGTGCTACAGAATTCAGTCAAAAAATTGGCAACTACGTTGTTTTATGAACATAAATAATTAAGTGACGATAAACTCAAAGAAAGACTAGCATCGATACTTCATGTTGATAATCATTGTATCAAACAACTTCAAAGATTAGAGGAGAAGGGTGTCACGTTTGATCAGCTCTGAAATGAAAAAATTTATTCTACTGTTAGTATTCAATAATACCAGTTAACATATTTAACAAAATAGTCAATATATTAACATTAACATATTATTTGATATACAGCTTCTTAATGCAAGTTGCACTAAAAGAGGATATTATGTTCAACGTGTCAAAAAAAGTTTGTAGTCTACCTTCAAAATTAATAGGATAAAACTATATAAAGACAGTTATAGCAAAAGCTAAATGAAAGAATGAAAATAGCAAAATAATGTTAAGAAAGTTCACGAAGACTTGTATATGCCAAGTGACCTAGATAATCCTTCATCTGAAATGTATATGGATGTAATTATTTAATCTGTTTTCTCTGAAAAAGAATGTACACATATTAATGCTATTTAGACACAATCAGTCCTTGAAGCAATCTTTGATGAAAAATATATATCAACTAAAATTAATGCAGAAGTTGTAGATTCTTAGATTGAAGCATTAACAGATACCAAACAACAAGTAATTATAGTTTTCTTTTATTTATTTATTCATTTTTGTTTGTTAACTATTAAATTTTTACTTCAGATCTTTTATTTAGAATGAAGATATGATTACAGATGTGGTGTCTCTCGTAAAGCAACTTCGTGAAGAAGAAATTGATGATAATGGGTTTAGGATTAATTATGATGATACGATTGATGATGATATACTATAAGTAGTCATTAATGGACAGATTTTCTAATAGCAATTAGAATTAGTAATTAGTTGTGCAATGTATTACATAATATAATAAGTAAATTTTGCTAATATTATATAAATTAATATTTTATAACATTGTTGCTTTATTATATTTTGTGTTAATCAATACATCAATTGATACCATCACATACATTTTTCAACTTGCGTTTATTAACTATATGTTGTTTTATACTTAAAACAGTATTGTTTTATGCAATTTTAAATGCGTTGATTAACAAAAAGTCTGTTGTACAATATTTTTTGGTGTTGATCAACACATGAAGTTTTTTAACACATTAAATGCCTTCCCAAAACTTTCTGATATTACTAACTGGCAAGCTATTAAATCAGCTGTAGACAAATTAGTCCTAGCAGTAAAACTTATTACTGTCACTCTCCCTCCTCCTTAGATGCTTCTAATGTCCGTAATGTCAAGAAACAGCTCAAGAACATCCACAAATCACTCTCTGCTTTTGCTCAAATTGATGTTTAACATATCAAAGAAAAAGCTATCAAAACTTTTATAGATAAAACATGTGACAACCTCTAAAGTGACCCCTTCAAAATGATTGACTCAATTCTAAACAAAAAAAAGCATTCTATCGTGTTAGATCGCTTTTTATCAAGGATAGAAACACCTTTACAAATTATTTTACAATTGATCCAAATGAAATTAAAAGTGCTACTATTAAGCATTTTCAAAACTTCGCTCTTTCCTCTTCACCTGTGCTACCAATATCTTCCAGATAGATTAACTAATTCAATCTTCGAGATTATGTAGATGAATCACATTACTCTAATTTAATGCAACCACCTACATATAACGAATGGATTTCTATTCTCAAATTGCTTCCTAATAATAAAGCTGCTGGTCCTTTAGGATTTCAAATGAAATGCTTTCTCATTTAGGTGATAAACTTCAACAATTACTCTGAAAACTCATCTGTATGTGTTTAACCTTAGATGATGTTTCAAACAAATGGAAAATTGCTCATATCTACTCTATCCTAAAGCTCATGAACTGGGAATACGACATTACAAAGATCACACCCATCACCTTGTTGGAAACTTGTTATAAAGGCTTTATCAAAATTATTACCAACAGACTCTCCACAATACTTGCCGAACACAACATTTTATGAGATGGAATTTTGCTGATCTACCTAGTGAATCAACTGAAGTACCTATCAAAATTGTCAATATGTTACTCAAAGATGCAATTGAAAATAAAAAAGAAATTTGGATTTTACTCCAAGACTTCTCCAAAGCATATGACAGAGTAAACTTAACGTTTCTTCGTCTAGCTCTCAACTGCATCAAAGTTTCACAATCTGCTATCAATCTTTTGATTAATCTTTTTACTGCAAGAAAAAATGCTATCTTTACTGCATATGGGACTTCAGATTACTATGATGTAAAAATTGGTATTGATCAAGAAGAAGTTATATTACCCTTGCTTTAATGTATTTATTTAGATCCTCTCCTTTGTGAAGTTGCCTCTCTAAACAAAGGATATACTATCAATCATACTTAGACCTCTGACCTAACTACTATGGCTACCAGTTCTCTATCTGCTAGTGTTTCTTTACTTACCTTTATAGATGATACCAACTGGATTGCTAATTTAAAATAAGATTTAGAATCTATTCTTGAAGTTGCTGAAGAATTCTATGATCTTATCAGATCAGCGCTCAACAAAAACAAATTTAAACTATTGACGACTAAATCTTCAGACATTGCAACAATTCCTCTCAAATTTAATTTATCTATAATCAATATTGAATCAGAAACTGATTCTGTACATTTTCTTAGAATATGGATCAACAGCAAACGCTTATCAACCTTTGTCAAAAAATAACTCGCCTTTAATATCAATTGTTTTATTTCTTTAATGTGTTATAAACCTCTTACTGATAGACAATTTTCTTACATTATAAATATAATGCTTTATCTACTATTAGAATATCATATGCAACTCACACCTTTGCCGCAACAAGAATGTCTTTCCCTTTTTATCTATTCATTCTCTATTCAAGAAAAAGAACAAATTCGCTTCTACCCTCCTGAATGTTCTTTTGAACTTCAAACAATTTTATTTGAATAATCACTAGTCGTTACAAATTAAATTCCTTTCTACTGCCCTTTTATATTAGTTTACTAACTTTACCTCTTATAAGAATGTCTCTATTATAAGACTTTTCCAACTCCAATTTCAACATTTTCTTGCAATCTCACCCCTTGATTATTGATCCTGCTCATTTGATAGACTTTCTTATAAAATTAAATTAGCACTTCCCTTTCACTTATCAAGTCTACTTATTCTAAACTTTCACTTATTGCTTCTCCTCTTCTCACTAACTAAATCAAAGGAGAAACTCACTCTATCGCAAAATTATTTCCCTATAAAATTTACATTTCTTTCAAAAAAATCTTGACTAATCATAACTTATTTTATTTAGATCAACTAATTTCTGCTTCAGGCTACCAGATGATTACAATAGCTAACTTTTTATTTAGAAACTTTAATTATCGCTCTAAATACTTTGGATCACAAACTCTTTTCAAAAAATTAGCAGACATTGTTTTAAAAAATAATATTTAGCAACTCCTTAAACTAGAATTTAGACTAATTTCTTCCCTACTTCAATATGGATTTGCAATTAATTTACCTTATTTGAATGACCAAAAAAGGAATTTATTGCTTCATGAAATCCAACAACCAACACCTCTTCATTTAGTCAAATCATCAACAAAAATTTAACTGATAATTAATTTATCTGTCAATATTTTGTATGCTCTACAAATAATGATAATATCAGCTAACTCTTTAAATGTATTGGATGCAATCCTTTTTCTGCTAACATTCATTTTGGTACTTGTACATTTGCAATCCTTGCAAACAGAGTTTTTAAATTGATATAATCCATAAGCAATCTTACATCCTTAAAAATCAACTAAAACAGTCGCCTGATAAAATCTCAAGGGTGACCTACCTCTCTTACTTCACCTCTTATTTTGAATAACAACCTTTTGTCCTCCCATCAACTGATCTATTTGACATAATGATTTTCCTTCCTTAATATTAACTGAGCTTAAATCTTTACAAATAACACTCGCTGACAATACATCCCTAACATTTTACACTAACGGTTCTTTAATCTCTCCCAAAATAGAATTATGTAAAATAGGACTGGAATGGATTTGTATTGATTCCTTCAATAACCATCACTCATTCAAGGCATCATTGACAAACTGGTCTTCATCAACACGTGCTAAAATGTATGTCCTTTTCACTG